GAGTGTCAGAGATTAAACAAAGTACCTTGCAGCGCAGATGCCATTAAACTTTCAAGGTGGGGCACCTTTAAGATGAGGTATGCAGCTCGGTCCAGGACCCTGGAAGAATATTCTTGCTGCTGAGAAAATAGCTTACCTTGCTGCTGGTAGCAACCCAGTGGGCACAGGCAAAGGCACAAGAAAATTCAATGAATCAGAGCGTTGCATAGATATTGACAATTATGGGGAAACCATCCGAAGTCTAGCAGCAGAAATCAAGAGGGTAGCACATGTACCAGTTCAAAAATGGAATTCCATTCTCCAAGCATCCTGGTGGGATCATCTGTTCCACAGAGCTTGGTGGAAGAAAGTAGTATTCTTTATACTGTGTTCAGTAGCAGAGGTTATATTCCTATCCTGTTTAATACCATGTTTTATTAGACTAATACACTCCGTTGTGCAAAGTATGCAAGTAGCAGCCATGCCCATAGATCCAAAGTGTGCTACGGGAAAAGTAAGTCAAGTGTCTAAAATAATGAAATTAGAAAAAAAAAGATAAAGCAGCTGAGACCCTGACCAAGTTTAAAGAACAAGTGAAGGGAGACAGGGCTGCCTGCAAGGTATATCAAGAAATACCCCAGGAAGAATGAGAAAGAGATAGAGAGGCTGAAGAGGATTAGAAAAGTCACTGTATTTCCTAAAGAAGAGAAAAAAGAGGAAAAAAAGGGAAAAAGTTAACACATGTAGAAGTAGTTATATAAGCTAAGGGAAAAGTTCACAAATGAATTAAAGGTTTTATGTTATAATGCTTAAAGAATTAAAACACAAATTAATATGTTTATATAGAAGGTGGGGGATTGTAATATGTGATTTAGGTAATTTGTGCTTATGTAGCATATGATGAGAATGTATGTTATAATGTTTGGAAAAAATATTCAAAAGCATTGTCAAATCCACACGCGGGAGCAGAGAGATTGCCTCATACAGGGAGACTGCAGCATTCCATTGCAAAACTGCAGACGGCGGTGAGGAAAGGTCTGATTTACAATCAAAAAAGCCTAGCTCTAGAGGAGATGGATCCTTACTCAAGAGACACCTGGACGAAAAAACGCCTGACAAGTGCCAAGGTCAAGGTAGCCAGAGCTATTGGAGAACTTGAATCCAAAGGCCGGGTTTCCAACTCTACAGCATTCATACCTTGCTGGGAAACACACTGTCTATCGGGGTTCGCTGTTATTTGTCTCTGCCCCGATACGGGAAAAGTGGTTCTGGGTGGCCACACCTTCGAAGGACGAGTGTGGACTCTCAGGTTTTCAGTCTTCAATCTTGTTTATTAATTCTCATCTACAATATTTTCTCTCTGCCCAGCCGAGGTCTGTTCAGCAGGACAGCCGAGTGCACTCTCCCCGCCTCTCAGGCTGGTGCTATCTTTTATACTAAAAATGACATATACTATGTTTACAATTATATTCCAATACCTATCATCTATGTTAGACAGTGACTTTCTACTCTAAACCAATCTGTGAATGCCAACATCATCCTGAACATGGATGCCAGGGAGAAGAAAGAAGGACAGGGCACACCCAAATCCCTCCATCTTGGAACCCCTGACCCTCATGTACAGAATTCCAAACCCCTCTGTACAAGGTCCAAAACCCCCTTGTACAGTGCTCCAAAATTTTTCCCTTCACCCTGTGATTGCTCCTACTATGCTACTTAAACTTTTGTGACCTTTAATTCTTCATATAAAGTTGGTAATTTGCTCCATGGGTTGAGATCGAATTTCTAGGTGTCTTTGGCTTCCTGCCAGGGTCTCTGAGACCCTGCCAGGGCTTTGAGCCATCCAGGGCATCCAGAGAGATGTCCTGGGTTCTGACTCTGTTGCTCCCAGATTTCCTCCTGCAGCTGCTCTCTGGTCATTCCAATCTGTGTCCTTCGACTGGCTTCATGCTTTGAGCTTCAGGGAGTTGCCCAATCTTTCAGAAGTTTAAATACCTCCTTAGTCAGCATCTTAGTTGTAGTTTTATCTTTTCTATCATCTCTTCTTAAGTCTTTGTCTAAAATCCTTCCTGTATGGCAATGCCTTGTGGATGGTGGACATGTCAGATGTTGCTGGGATGTCACAAGGAACTTAGGGAAAGGGTTTGATGTTTCTTAAATGTTATCATGTTCACATTTTTGATGTTGGCTATGAAGAGAAACCTTTCTTTGCCTCTGAATCTCACCAGTTCCTGCTCCCCCAAAGGACGCAAATCTGATGAGTTGTGGTTCCCACTCCAGTGGTGGAAATTGGACCCCCTTCAATAGCCATGTGATAAACAAGTCCACTGAATTTTAAGGATCATATGATTATCTTTATTATTTTTGCAAGCAAGAATAAGCAAGGACAGCACTGGGCGGCCCGGAGTCTCCGCTCCGCTTTGGCTCACAAAATTCCTATCCCCTGAGTCCACCTTTATTGTCTTTTCTCTGGGTTTAGGGATGACGTGATCTGTCTTCTGTGCTTGCTTGTTCAGTTGCTAGGGGGTCTTTTTCTGCCTTCTGGTGGTCGTGGGATGAAGGCTTAGTCTTCCTTAGTCTTCCTCTTTGTGAACGCTGGGTGAACTAATGCCTTATAAGGCATATCTATACAGAACACTACACACTTTCTGCAAGCTAAGCAATTCTTGCGAGTTTAAGGATTGCTATTACATCTGCTTTTCATTACTTTCCTTTCATAAGGCATACCTTTACAATGGAATTCCCAAAGTACTATAGTAAACCAGCAACCATCTGCACAAGAAGTTTTTAGCTATTTAACGATTGTTTTATATTGTATAGTTATTTAGCTATTGATTTAATTAATGAA